TTCATATGCCGAGGAGAGACCAACAAGAAGGGCGGCTGCAGGGGCTTGTTCGGGGAAGACTATACCCAGCTCCTTGAGTTCACCATGAATGGTCTGCACCTTGGCGATGTAGTCAGCCATTCCTGAGCAGTCCTCAAGACGGACTTGAAACATGCTGGGGATGAGAATCGCCACTCCGACCGCCGTCTTGTTCATGAACCGATCCTGGAGATACTTCCAGATGGCGTTGGAGGTAGGGTAGTTGTGGAACGTGTTGACAAGTTCGGGAGGGGTGGAGGCAATGAAGACGCTGATGATGGCAGCATCGGCCTTCTCCCACTTCCGGTACTTCTCAACAGCTTCTTCGTACGTCATCACGTCAGCATCACTTGAAGATTCGGTCGGTTCACGGGGAAGAGTGGGCTGTTTCCCCTTGCCACGGTTGAGGAGGACGTCCTTGAGGTCAAGGCCCTGCACGTCACGGCTCAGGAGGTGCTTGTCAACTCCGTAGCTCCACGCCTTGAAGTTGGAGCTAGAGCCATCGGCTTCAAGGCAGAGCGGGGTGATGGGGTTCGCCATGGTGGAAGACGAGAAAGCCATGGTGGAGACCCCTTAACTTCTCGCGCGGAGCGCCGCTCTTAAGTCACCGATAGGAACTTGAGGTTTGGGGTTTCCAAAGGAGATTTTGAAGAACCGGAGGTTTAGGGTTTACGAAAGAGAATATTGAGGTTTAGGGTTTCTGAAGGAGAATTTGACTGAGACGCCAATTTAGTGTCAACTACCTACTAATCCTATTCCCACACACCCCCCCACACACCACCCTCAGCTTCGCGGCTACGCTGCTGCTCGGCTTCGCGGCTACACGGCTGCTCGGCTTCGCGGCTACGCTGCTGCTCGGCTGCGTTGCTGCACCTGTTTAGCTGCGGGAAAGAGGGGGAATGGGGGTAGGAGTGCAGATGCGGGGCGACGGGCGGCAGCCCGAAGATGACGCTGCGGGGCGACGGGCGGCGGCCCGACGAGAAGCTGCAGGGCGACGGGCGGCAGCCCGAAGAGAAGCTGCAGGGCGACGAGCGGCGGCCCGACGAGAAGCTGCAGGGCGACGGGCGGTGGCCCGACGAGGAGAAGAAGTGACGAGAGTGACGAATTGATGAAAACGAGTGTTAGGTTAGAGCGCCGACGATGCGCTTACCAGAGAAGTTTCCGTCGATGGTGACGGGAAGATGTGGCGGGAGAAATTCCGCCGATGAATGTCGCGAATCAACCGCAACGAGATTGGCGATGGCTTCCCCGAGGTTTGCGGGACAAGTATCCGCAGAGATGAGAGGATCACGATCCGCGTATGCGGTTGAGCTGCTCTGATACCATGTCAGAACTTGAGCTTAGAATCGATACTATAGTAGTGAGCTCAAAGCTCTTTAAGTACATCCGGAATGAGCAAGGTAGGGATGAGGAGGGAATCAGGAGGCAATCCTAGGGAATCAAGGGTAATCCCAAGGCAATCTCCAATTGGTGGGTTGGAGATTGCTTGGAGATTACATTTGTGTTTGGTTGGGATGTGGGTGTACACCCAACCAAACACAAAGTGCAAACTACACTAAACTAGGATATAAAAGTACAAGTATAAAATGTAAGATAGGGGCCTAACACCAACATTTGCCCCTTCAAAAAAAGTGAGGCAGGGGAGGAGACCAGACAAAATAGAGAGTCAACAAATAGAGGGGCAATAGATGCAAGAATAGAAATACTTGTGAGAGCAACAGAGAGAAGAAATGGGAATAAGAGGGATGGTATGGAGAAGAGACGAGGTGAAGGGAGAGTGGTACAAACATACAGCCATGTCAAGAAGGTAAGGGATTTCAAGACTGTAGGAAAGGAGCCACTGAACACATTGTTTCCTAGATATCTGTGGGAAGGCAAGTGCAAGCGGTGCAAAAGGATGGTCAACCGAACAAAATGAGGGAGCTGGTTTTGAGAAGACGCAAAACAAAGTGGACAGTACTGAGGTTGGCGAATGAGATGGAGAGAAACGGAGAGATGAAGCAAAAAAACATGCGCGGCCTTATTTTACTGCAAATGCTTAGAATTAAGATGGATGCAGCAATCACGATACACATGCAAGCATCAATCCACACCCCTGATGTATCTTTCACATTCCAGCTCTCTAGGCACAACACATTGATCTTGCCCATTCTTCCTGTCCAGTCTCACAAGTATCCCAGCCAAGCTATACTGCTGAAGCTGTCGGGGATGCTGCCTGAGAACTGGTTGGATGAAAGATCACTGGATCAAAATTACATCGGAAGGGATAGAAGTTGAGTTTGCATCTTCTAACCCGGTGAAAGAGAGTTAGTGGGTTTGAATGTAGAAGGAACTAGCAAGAAGGTGAAAATCCAGTGACAAAGAGTTGAAGACACACATAACACACATCCACTATATGTGGTGTGGGGCCAGCAGGGAAAAAACGAATCAACTAAGGCTAGCATTTCTACTAACAGAGAGAAATGGAGAAGATCAACGCAGATGTCTTACATGGAATATAGGGCAGAAATAGTTCCAATAGCTTCAAGTGAGCCGTTTAGCTGATTGTAAGAAACATTTCTGAGATGATGAGCACATGACAGCCATAAGAGAGTAGAAGAGAGAGGAACAGTCAGAAAAAAGCAACACAACCTCAGAAAGAGCTATTCTTGCTACAATATCATCAATCCAGACAGCAGCACAATGTACATTGCCTTGCTCTGGGATGTTTTTAGAACACAGGTCATGGGAGAAATGTGGAGGGATGATTTCTGAAACGGACTACATGTAAAGCAGAAATCTGCTCTAGTGTAATCACGAAATCATGAAATACATGCAGCAATCACAAAATACACGCACGTACGTTTCACATTCCAGTTGCATCCACATTCCAGTCATATACTTCACAATCCAAATGTTATCCTCAACGCAACACACGTCAATGTTGTCATTCCTTGTGTCCATACTCACAAATTTCCCAGTTCTTGTAAATCACTTAAGGTAGCTGGGATGCTGCCAGTGAACTGATTGGATGAAAGATCACTGAAACAGGATGGAAATTGGGAGCGAAGGCAGTTGAGATTGCAGTTTCCAGATAGCATAGCAAAATGTGAAGAAGCTTAGGTGGTTGAAATGAGTGTATGGTTGAGCACGATAACCAACTTATGTTTGGTTCGGCTCGAACCTATTCAGGTTTGCACTGAACGATTAATTCTAGTCCAGCTTGACTTTTTTTGTTGAGCCACGTCAAACTTCAAACCAAGGGCTAATTCAGTTCGGTTTGACTTGAACCGAGTTGGTTCGCATCGATCCGGTTCGAGTTCGGTTCTTGCTCATGCTAGCTAGATGTACAAGAAACACATTGAGATGACAAAGGCAGAAGGGGAGGTCCTCTTCTGGACCTTGACAAGCGCTAAGGACATAGAGAAGGCACATCATGAGATAAAGTAGCAAACAGGGGACAAAACATATTTGCTAGAGCTTCCCTCCCAAATGCTCCTTAGTCCCTTGATCGCTAAAAGATAGACCATAGAGCGTGAACCATGTTGTTTCCATGACTTGTGGCGTCTGGAATCCGAAAGCCCAGCTGGGGACTGGTGCCCCTGGCTCGAAATACAATACTAGTGGAGAAACCTGGTCCCTTCACCTTCCCTTATCCTACAGGGTCGCCCTAAACGTTTTGTCCACTCCACATACAAGGCATGGCTGCATGGCATGCTACCTCACGTCATCCATTTGACATCTCTACAAAGAGAATGAGAATTGTGGCAGTGAACTGAACATGCGATAAGAACAAAGAGGGTCAGGCAAAGGAGACTGTGGGTTGCATAGCGAAAATGGAGACAGGAGGAAAGGAGGGGCGGAGACTGGAGAGAAGAGAAAGAAAGAGGTCTTACATGGAATATAAATTACTAACACCAATAGTGGCAACTACATCGAGTGGTCCACTGAGCTGATTATAGGAGACATTTCTGAGTTAATGAGCACATGACAGTCACAAGAGAGTAAAAGGAGAGACACAAACACACTGGTTGGTGAATGCGATACTATTTAAAGATGACAGATTATAGATAATAGGTAACTGGTTGGTGAATGCATCACGATGACATTGCATCCTTCACACATTGCATCCAGCAGCATTGAAGAATGGAGGATAAAACGATTAGAGATGCGGAAGGAGGAACAGGCGGGGAGGATTGGGGAGGAAAAAGAATGGGGAAGGCTGAGGTAACTTGTGTGCAAAGGAAAGGAAAGAAGGTGGGCAAAGGACACAATGTGACAGCTGCAGCCGGCTGCATGCATGCATGCCCGAACTCCACATGCGGCGGCCATGGATGGATACCCAAGTCACCATGTTTCATGCATGCATGCATGCACTCCAAACACACATAATTCTCGCACTCAAGTTGCACTCACACATTACAGACGGCTCCACCCAAAACACATCAACCTTGCCATTCCTTCCTTCAGTCCAATGAAGTCTCACAGTTTTCCCATTCTAGTTAGATCACTGAAGCTAGCAGGGATGCTGCCTGTGAGCTGGTTGCACGAAACATCACTGGCAGGGTTGGTGGTATCACGAATGCAATGCAAGCAAGAGCGGAAATGATGGCATTGAAAGGCTGATGCTACACTGCACAAGATGGACTGGAGCCACTGACGGCCTTTGAACACATAGAGAGGCATCAGAGCACCATAGAAGCTCCACACCACACAAAGGCACATCATAGGCCCACACCGCAGGCTCACGCCATACGCCCCACCATAGAAACAACATGGGAGGAGTAATGTGAGAGTATTGCAGGAGCATTGCAGCACAAGAGACCACATAATAAGTTCACGAATATTAATAAAAAGGTTGCTAATGATGTCTATTTTTGAAAGGCGTGAATTAAAATGTTCGTGGATTAGAGAAACTTGTGGCAAGAGAGCAAAAGGATGAATGGTGGATAGGAAGAGAGGTCACATAGGTAGAGCATAGCACAGGAAATCAGAGCTCTTACATATCTCTCAAGGATGGCATAAGGCTGAGTTCAGCCGGGATAGATCCAGTGAGGTTGTTGCTGCGAAGTGGCCTGCACAATATGGTGACCATGCAATCATAGTGATCATGCAATGGACGTAGGCAGAATGTCACGGATTAGAGATTGAGAATGTCTTTTAGAAATACAAAGACAGGAAAAGATGGGGGTATGAGAAGCGAGAAGAGGGGTGCTGATTGTTTAGAACAAAGGCATCAAAGTTTGCTTTTCTTTAATGAAAGAGTGGCGCTTACATATTAATATGAGAGAAGGCAAATGAACAAGAAACAGGAAGTTGGTACATGAGGAGGAGGAGGAGGAGGAGGAGGAGGAGGAGGAGGAGGAGGAGGAGAGGAGGAGGAAGAGGGGGAGGAGGAGGGGGAGGAGACAAAGAGGGTTTAGTACTACAAGCAGGCAGTGAAAAATACAGGCAAGAGAAGGGCCACATCTCACAGAAAGTTCAGTTGAGTGAGAGCACTGATTCCTGCTGGGATGGTTCTTGAAAGCTGGTTGTATGACAAGTCACTGCAATGGCACGAACCATGCATTGCAAAGAGGAAGAAACTCTGATTGAACTAGTCAAAACTGCACGGTGCTATATTCAACCAAAAGGGTCAAGAGATGATAAGATGATGGCATTATAAGTATATAGAATGCACCAAGCAGAGCCGCCTGAATGAGAAGCAGGGGACAAATAACTTTCCTATGCTCACATCACATCTATGGATGCAGCGAAAACCGAGGTTGGTCCTTGAATTGATAGGGTGGAGAAACTTGTTATTACACTAGGAGTAGGTAGGAGGAGGTGGTTGAGAAAGAGTGAGGCCTTACCCTCTTCAATCCAGAACATTGTTGTCTTTGAGGGTTAAGGGTACAGAGAAGAGGAGGAGGAGGAGGAGGAGGAGGAGGAGGAGGAGGAGGAGGAGTAGGAGGAGGAGGAAGAGGAGGAGGAGGGGGGGGGGGGAAGGGGAAGGGGAGGAGGGGGAGAAGGAGGGGGAGGAGGCGGAGGTTGCGACGAAAAGAGAGAAGGTTACCCTCTGGAGGACACACAAGAGGAGGAAAACATACAGAGCATCCAAGAGAGGAGAAGGCGTTTCTTACAGGCTGTACAGCTGCTTCAGGGTACTGAGTCCATCAGGGATGCTGCCTGTAAGCTTGTTGAATGACAGGTCACTGTGATGGTTTTGAACATGCAAGGGAGTCAAACAGATACAGAAGCAACAAAAAATATATACTAGTCAAGGTAATTATTTAGTGACTTGCAAAAGTGGTTCTGATGATCATCGTGAGTACATAGAAAGTACCAAGAGGGGCATAGGGCAATGCTGAGTTGACAAGCAGGAAGGGCCAGAGGAATTTTGTTTAGGAAGGTTGCCGTTATGTTGAATTGATCTGCATGGTGTCCTACGCACATCACCCCACATTGCTACATCTGAACAAAGGATACATGAACATGAAGTGAAATCAGACTCAAGGGAGGTGGAAAGCGTGGTGTGTTTGAAAGGGTAAATAAGCGTGGCGTTTAACTAGCAGGAGACAGATTGGAAGGGAGAGAAATTGGTGGGGAATCTGGATAACTTACAGTCCCATAAGTTTTGTAAGAGAGCTTAACCCTAAAGAGATAGAGCATGTGAGCTGATTGCTACCAAGATGCCTGAGATAATGAGCACGGGATGTGGGTTGAGTGAGGGGTGGAGGCAGCAACAGATGAGAGATTCAGGCGTGCGCTCTGCACATATGGTGAGGTCACCAGCAGAGCAAAGAGAGTTAGAGAATGACCGGTATTATGAATAATGAGTGACAAGTTGCAAAAGTGGTGGAATAGAGGTTAGAGAACAGGGATTTCAGGCAGGTATTATATGCCCATATAAAAAAGGTAAGAGAACGTAAGAACTTACAGGTTATTGAGGTTTGTAAGAGAGAACAAGGCTTCTGGAATTGAGCCGCTGAAGTTATTTCGACCAAGTACCCTGATATGATGAGCACAAGATGTGAATGAGGAATTGAATAAGCATTGTTTGTCATGCGTTAACAATAAATAGTCCAAAATTTCAAGGAGGTGGGAGAGGAGAGGAGTGGTTAGAGAAGAAGAGAGGATGCATGCGAATGAGAGAGGAATTTTGTTGTGCTGTGGGGGGAGCAAGCAATGGCGTCAAAGGGAACACATCATATGCCGAAGCAGGAAAAGGCAGGAGATGCGGCCATATTTGACCCTCCTTCTCAAAGATAAACTGCCACTGCCAGCAGCATGAGGCTGTGACAGGCGGCAGCACATGCTAGAATAGAATCAGCTTGCAGCAGATCACATGCATGCAGGCAGTTTCACCCCGTACCAGCAATCACCCCGTACCAGCAATCACCCCGTACCAGCAATCACCCCGTACCAGCAATCACCCCGTACCAGCAATCACCCCGTTCCAGCAATCACCCCGTACCAGCAATCATCCCTTACTAGAAATCACCCCTTACCAGCAATCACCCCTTACCAGCAATCACCCCTTACCAGCAATCACCCCTTACCAGCAATCACCCCTTACCAGCACTCGCATGAAGAGGCTAGTGGGTTGCGGTCGGTTGCGGGTTCCCACATAAGCTTACCAAGTCCTCTCCTCTGCCTAGTCCGCAGGTCCCAACAAGAAGGGGGTCCAGTCCAGGGTCCTTACCTGTGAGATTCTCCCGTACGGTCGACGACATCTGATCCGAGTGCTCATGAGGTCAGTGAGAAGTACGGAAAGGACGTGGGTGGGTGCCATGAATGATGCTTCCACAACACAACACGCCCTTCTGCTGCTCTCTTGCAGTGCAAGCCACTGGATGAAGTTTCCCTTGCATTCAGACCCTGCTGATTCAAGGATACCTGGATTACCAGCGTCACTGTTACAGACCCCGTCCTCTGAAACAATCGGGGGCCCCGATGCCTGCACGTCTTCTTGCAGGGCGGCCCCATCAGGTTGATGGTGGAAGGAGATGGGAGAACTGGGGGAAAAATCTATCAGCACTGGAACATCGAGGCTGTGGGGGGTTCTTTACATATGGGGCACACCCGCACGGTCAACACACGCACGACACAGCGTGACGTGACCATTTTGAGAGTCCATGCACTAGAAATTAGAGTAGACAGGACTTACAGGGCTTGAAGGTTTTTAAGGTTGCCGAAGGTGTCTGGGAATGAGCCCGAGAGTAAATTGTTGTATACGTTGCTGTGAAACATAACCATGAATAAAAACAGGGATAAAGATGTGGTTGGTATAAACTGGTCAGGGGGTCGTTGGAACCAGCATGAGTGAACAACTACTGAGCAGAGTGGGGAGGAATCTAGCCCTTGGTGTCGGTCGGTTGACAAGGGATCCATTTTACTGCCATATTAGCACTGTTCGGAAAGCGTCACAAGAACAATCACACGCAGTACAAGGAAACCTGGAAAGAGGAGAACTGTAGAGAGGATGGACAATGAGTCATGCATGAAGGAAACGAGTGAGTCGACAAAAAAATGCAATGACAACAGACAATAAGTCATACAAGCCTGAAGTGACTGCATAAGACAGGTGAGGGGAATTGGTTAGGAGAGGGAGCAAAATGTAGGAGATCAGAACAAAGCATTTGTCTTACAGGTTAGTCAGGGCAGTAAGCGAGCTATACGAGTTGGGAATCGGTCCAGTGAGCTTATTTTTAAACAGGGTCCTGTAAAGAAATTTTGAATCAGTGATGCATTCAATGGTATAAGGTAAGGGGAGAGGGAAACAAAGTGAAAGGAAGAAATACCGTACGAAGTTGGGACAAGAGAGGTCAACAGAGTGAGAGCAAAACACTTGGTACTTTCTATGTACTCACGATGATCATCAGAACCACTTTTGCAAGTCACTAAAAGAAAAGAAAAGTGGGAGCGAAACACAGAAAGAACTACATAAGATCACAGAAAAGGGAGAGACGAGCGTCTGATATGAACAGAGCATGGGCAAGGAGATGGGAGGTGGCGCGTTATGAGGAAGAGAGGAAGACAATAGGATTGACATTTATTATATTTGGACTGCAAAGGAGGAGGTCCATGATGATCCATGTCGTCACTAGCAGGGGGAAGGGATTGGGACACAGATACATTACAAGCGCACAAGAGAGCGGGTACACGGCATTTTAGGGTGACAAGTGGGCATAACAAACAAGGGACTTACATGGTTTTTAGGTTTGTAAGGGAACCAAGCTCAAAGGAGAGAGATCCAGAGAATTGGTTGTAATGCAAATTCCTATGATATGATGTACTACCCAAAACAAGAATTTCAACAAACCAAGGCAGGGAGATAAACCACACATGAAGAGAAAGCTGGAAATTTGACAGCTGGCAACTCAGGCATTTCAGATTTATCGGAGGTCCATCAGAGACGATCTGAAAAAATATATGCCTGAGATAGCTAAATCTCTGTTGTTGCTGGCCAGAAACGAATCTTAGAGCAGGTAAGCGTGACTTACTGATTTAACAAAATTGTACCAGGTTCATGATCACCAGAATTGTGTGAATGAATACACCACCCTTTCACATATTGAAAGGAGGTTACTTAAGCTGTGTGCATTAAGTACTGTGAACTTCAAATGGCGTGAGGTACGGATGGTGAAGTGGAGATAATGGGGTACAAGGAAAAGAAAAGAGAGGAGAACCACTGGAGCGAGCAGGAGTGGCAAGCATTGAGAAGGATAAAAAATGGGGAGCAAAGGAGCCGAGCCCGAGCAAAGAGCAGAGGCCTTACAGAGTTATCAGCTTTTTCAGGTTGCCGTATTGGGCAGGGATCGACCCACTTAACTGATTGAGATCAACTCTTCTTTACTGGTAGAAGAAACCATGAAGTGTGAATGGATGAAGGCAGTGAAGGTACGGGTAGTACTCATAAGGAAAGGAGAAATATAACAACCAACAAAAGCAACCATGGCTATGTGAATGTGGATTGAAGGGGAATGGAGAGTGGCAAGGCAAGAGCGGAACAGCGGAATTTGAAGGCAAGGAGAAGAGGAGAAGAGAAGAAGAGGAGAAGAGGGGAACAGGAGACGAGGAGAAGAGGAGAGGAGGAGAAGAGGGGAAGAGGGGGGAGAGGGACGGATGTAGAAGTGCACACAAAAGCAGAATGGCTTACAGGAGTGTCAAGTCTGAAAGAAAACCAATGGTATGAGGTAAGGTGCCCGTGAACTGGTTGATATGTAGAGCTCTGACATAAATGCGATTGGTTCATGTATCGGTTGGATATGTGTGTTGGGACACGGGCAGGGGTGTGGTAGGTACAAAAATGGAGAAAGAACATTGTTGAGTAGAAATAACAGAACGAATGAGGTGGAAGGGAGGGAGAAGAGATTAGAGGATTCAGAGTGCACAAAGAAAGTGCAAGGAGCAGGAGGGGAATGGAGAGAGGAGGAGAGGATGAAAGAGGATAGGATGGAGGATTTGGAAGCCAAACAGAATGGGGAGCAACGAGAGAAGACACTACACCACTTCAAGAACATGTTCCTGTTGTAACAGAATCTACATTACAGTCAACATGCCTCATATCATTTATCATTGAGCAAGTGACACACTCGACAAATCCATAATGCAACCAGTGTAGATGAAAGACAACACAAGAGCGCACAAGCCTCGTTAAGTTTCCACATGGCATCCACAGCACGTCACATAACAAGGCAGCTCACATGGATTGCAATTTAAGGAGCGACGTGAAAGTATTAGGGAGGCTGCCTGTGAGCCGGTTGTATGAGAGGTCACTGAGAAACATTGGGAGAAACGTGACATGGTGTGGAAACACAGAGAGAGAGAGAGAGAGAGAGAGAGAGAGAGAGAGAGAGAGAGAGAGTGAGAGAGAGAGAGAGAGAGAGAGAGGGAAAAAAACTCAAGTGCCTGCACAGACACGAAATTGAGTCGGTGACTAAGGAATGGTCATCTTCAAATGTGCGATTGGAAGCAAACGGGTTTTGTCACCATAAGTAACAACGTTTTCACCCGATGCATCCGATACAGGGATACTACCAAAAGGGTTCTACATGATACGGTGAGTCTCGGGTTTGAAAGGAAACGGAAAAGGTTGACAACGCGTGTGTCTAACCCAGTGGACGCACAAATTATATCCCTCTCTAATTTGCAAGATGATAAAACTCAAATTGGTCATCGCTCACAGTGTTTGCAGTTTAAAAAGCCAACTGAATGTAGCAGGAATGCTGCCCCCGAGGTTCTTCAATTTGAGGATCCTGTGAAACATAGATAAGTCAAAACGGAACAGCGTGACAAAATATGACACCTCGCAACTGAATGGGTAAAAACGAGAGTGTTATTTGGCACAGAAGAATGCCCTTAACACAGCCCACAGTGTTAGAGGGCCCTACAACAGCAAGGGCCCTCGATCACCTTTGACTTGGCAGGTCGACGCCTAACGACTGAGTCTACTCGGCACCGATGAATGAGTTCAGTGAAGGTCGGGTGTGACTACGTGTGACTATGTGCAACTGCGCAGGAGTTCGCATGAAGAAGCGAGAGTCCGTGGGAGTCGTTGGTGCTTCCTTGAGAGTCGCACCACTCCTTGCTGTGTTGGTGGAGTGGTGTGCACGGAAGCGAGAAGTCGATGCTGAGTTGGGTTGGGAAATTGGCGAGGCGCGTTCGCTCACCCACACACCACTTTCGTGGGGTTGGGTTACTCGCAGCGCCCACGCAACCTCTTGTGAAACCCTCGCCTGCCTATATATGTTTGTGTTGCTTGTGTGTTTGAGATATATTTTCTATGTTCCTAGTGAAGTCCAAATGCTACTTCAATTCTCACCAAGTCCTTAGAGGCAAACGCTACCGAAACTCTACCAAGTTGCTGGCGCAACATCATTCCCATAGCAGAAACTCTCTCGTTATTGCTACGCTCTCTAATAGATTCCTTCATGGTGCGGTGAGCGTGGAACGAACACGCTTAGATTTCCGTCGTCGTTGATATTCGTGTTCGTATACTCGCCTTGGCGTGTGGCGTTGGTGAAGGGCGCTTATTAATCTAAGTTGAACCTCTCTTGATTTCCCTCCAGTTACGTTCTCGGACCCAAGGATAGGGCGTTTGGTAATTTATTACCACTCGTCTGAGGACCCTTGTGAGGTGACCCCGAGACGAGGGATTTAAGGAAGGGGCACTTTATTTTAATTTGTGGTACCTTATAGAGACGTCGTAGAGGATGAGTACTGAGGAGGCGAACGTGGAGGCCGGTAATTTGCACGCTCTAGAGGAGGATCTCGTGGCCCGTCATTCTCGTGGTGAGATTAGTGATATCGAATACGAGCTAATGTTGGAGGGATTGCGCTCGCGTCGGCGTCGTGAGCACCCTTCGCCACGTGTAGAGAATGTTGAGCAAATTGCGGGAGGTGCTAGTGCGTGGGATATGGCTGTCGATGGCAGAAATAGCGATGACGAGGAGTTTGATGGGTTGATGTCGCGTGGGGTCCTGCGAAGACCAACTCGGTTTAGTACGGCTAGCGTCGGCGGTGTACAGGAGCGTGTTCATCGTGCAGCAGCGTCACGAGAGCATGCGAATGTAGGACGGCGAAGCGTTGCTGGGGGAGGAATTGCGGAAGAGTTCGATAGTGAGACTATGCCGGGCGTTACCCCGATTGGATCGATGTCGAGGGACGAGGGAATAGCCCCCAACTATGGCTACATCAGATTCACTCCAGACAAGATCGTTGTCACTAGTCCGTTAGAAGGACGTCACGACCTGTTGACGTGGACAGAATCAATCGAGCCGCAGCTTGAGATCGCTCAGCTAAAGCGATTCATAGATGGCACCACCCCTATTCCACCATCGCGTGCGCTTGCGCATCTCTCTCAGTTCCGCGCGATGCAGTTGCTGACATTCACCACCATTTCCCGATGTTGCTCCCCAACCGTACAGATCGCCCTTAAGGCGTGTCGCATGAAGGTTGATGCCGGCTATCAGGCATGGCAGTTTATTATGCGCACGTACATGGCAAAGGACGATCTGTACATCGGTCAGTTAGAGCAGGCGCTCACTAACCTCGAGATGGGAGAGCACGAGTCCGCTACGTCCTATTGCAACCGTGCGCAGCAGATCCTAGTGAACCTGAGGATGGCCGGCGTAGATTACTCGCAAGCGTCGTACATCACTCACGTTGTGAAGGGGTTGCCGCAGCAGTACAACCTCTTACGCAGGATGCTGAAGTTGCCGCAGGTGCGCAAGGAGTTGGACGAGAACACCCTCGCTAGCTACATCATCGAGGAGGAATGTACGCTGGCGTCAGAGGGACGAAAGGACCAATTCCTTCCCCAGGCTAACCAGGTCTTTACCAAGAAGGGTAAGCCCCAATTCCAGCAGAATTCGTTCCCTTCCCCTCCCACTACGGCACAGCAGCAGCAGCCTAAGAATGGGGGTGGGCTTGGTGGGGGAGGGGAGAAGTGGAAAGGGGGTAATGATGGCCAGCCGAAGGGGGGGAAAGGGGGTTTCAAAGGGAAGTGCTATGTGTGTGGACAAATAGGGCATGTTGCTAAGTACTGTCAGCAGCGGGCGGATAAGGAGGCAGACACCGGTGGAGAGGGCACTGGAGGTAGCAGCGGAAAGGGGGGTGATGGCTCTAAGGGGAGCGGGCAATCATCATGTGCGATGGTGAAGCCCGTTGTGGAGCAGACTCCTCTCGTTGTGCTAGAGCCTAAGGGCGGGGAGGGCTTACAGGCTGTTGCAGCTGCTGTGAAGGCGAACCCGAGCGTCGTGCTTCTTGATAGCGGATGCTCCCACCATCTCATCGGAGATCGTTCTGCCTTTGTGGAGATGAGCAGCGGCGGCATTATTAAACAGGTTACTGGCTTCAACGGCGCGCTTCAGGAGGTGCAGGGGCGGGGCACAGTCGCTCTTCTTGGAGAGGGGGGCAGGCGTGTCTTGGTGCCGGACGTGCTGTACGTACCAGGAGTGCAGGCGAGTCTTCTCTCTGCTGGGCAGCTGCGTGAATGTGGTGTGCAGCTGCTGGATGCCGGGGATGTGACTTTGCTGCGGGCACCAGATGGATCGCTCCTTGGTCGTGCGGAGTTCAAGGGGCGTGTTCTCTGCACGAACTTCCAGCCGTGTTCGACGCAGCAGCAGGAAGGCGAAACGGTGGCACTTCGTACCTTGGTGACGGGCGTGCGGTCTAAGGGGGACCTGTGGCATGCGCGTATGGCACACGTTGGTATTGATGCCATCGAGCGCATAGCGGCTCATGGGTCAGTGAAGGGCTTGGATTTGGAGAAGGGGGGCAAGTCAGGCATACCTTGTGTTTCCTGTGTTGGGGGAAAGATCACTCGTCATACCTTTCCTTCTGTGGGAGAGGAGGAGGATGAGTTGCTCGGGGTGGTGCATGCTGACCTTTGTGGCCCTTTCCTGAAGCAGCTAAGGACGGCAGCCGCTACTTCTTGGTGCTGAAGGATCGCAAGACGCGATATGTCTGGGTCTACCCTTTGGCCCAGAAGAGTGATGCGCTGGCGGCGTTCCAGAAGTGGCTCCCGATGGCAGAGCGACAGTGCAAGACCACGGTGCAGGCGCTGCGCACTGATCGGGGTGGCGAGTTCCTGGGGCACGACTTCACGCTCTTCCTCGACGGTAAAGGCATCATCCATGACCTCACATGCCCGTATACGCCAGAGCAAAACGGGATGGCCGAGAGGGAGATGCGCAGCATTGTGGAGGCGGTGCGGACGATGTTGCTGCACATGGGTGTGCAGCATCACTGGTGGCACCTGGCGTTGGCTCAGGCCGTCTGGGTGCGCAACCGCGTGGAGCACGCCTCACTACCCTCTGGTGTGACGCCGTACGAGCTCGCCTTCCGACGCAAACCTGATGTCAGTATGGTGCGTGTTTGGGGCTGCATGCTGCAGTACATGGTACCACAGTCGCAGCGTGGGGGGAAGCTGGCGCCTAAGGCTCGTTGGGGGTTGCACTTGGGTGTGTCAGCTGCGAGCAAAGAAAGGACCGTGCTGGACTTGGAGTCCAACCGCCTCATCACCACTGTAGAAGCTGTGTTTTATGAGACCATGTCCCTAGCTGGATGGAAGGCTTGGCATCAGCAGGAGCATGGGGGGCGTTCGATGCCCTATGAGCCCCTTCCCTCACTCTTCCCGATCACTCTCGAGGAGGCGGAGGAGGAGGAGGAGGTGGTCGCACCTCCTGCTATGCCCTATGTCCCTACCTCGGTCCCCACCCCTCCTCCGCCTTCAGTCTACCCGCCTTCTTCCTCCTCACCCCCCTTGGCTTCCCCTAGTCCTCCTAGTATTCCATCTCCCCTTCCACCCTCCATCCCTCCTGCACCTGCTCCGCCCTCCTCTTCGTCTTCCATGGCGCCGCCCGTTGGTGGGGGGGGGATGGAGGTGCCACCGTCTGTGGAGATCACCAACGGGCAGCGCCTTGAGACTGAGCAGCTGCAGGACGAGAGCAGTATGGATGGAGTACAGCAGACAGGGGAGCAGCAGATTGGGGAGCAGCAGATAGGGGAGCAGCAGAGTGGGGAGCAGCAGATAGGGGAGGAGCGGATTGAGGAGGAGTAGATGGTGGACCAGCAGCTAGGGGAGCAGCAGACAGGGGAACCGCAGACAGGGGAGCAGGAGATGTGGGGAATTAGAGATGGTGGTCGTGTGTTGGTTTCTGGGACGACCACTGCACCAGTGCGTCGCTCCACTCGCATCACTCGTGGTGTCCCGCCTGTTCGATACGCTTGGGCTATAATGGTTGAGCCAGCGGGCTTGGATGACGAGGAGGAGGACGAGGAGTGGACTGACCTGGACCCGGACGTTGCAGCTGATCCTGAGAGGCAGTGGGACATAGTGAAAATGACAGTGAAGGAGGCCTTGGGCTGCTGGAAGGGCGACAAGGTGAAAGAGGCGATGGATGAAGAGATGCGGAGCTTGATTGAGCAGGGGACGTGGGAGTTGGTTCCGCGTCCGCCAGGGGTGAATGTGATGAAGAACCGCTGGATTTTGAACACCAAGTTCCGACCTGATGGGATAGTGGAGCGTGAGAAGGCGAGGCTGGTGGTGAAGGGGTTCACGCAGGTGGCAGGGGTGGACTATGAGGAGACGTACGCCCCTGTGGGAAGCTATGTGACGGCGCGTGTGCTTCTGGCGATTGCAGCTGCACTTGATTTGGACCTGATGCAGCTCGATGTAAAGAACGCGTTCCTCCATGGCGTGCTGGACCGAGACCTTTATATGGAGCAGCCGAGCTACTACGAGGATGGGACTCCTCGTGTCTGTAAGTTGGTGAAAAGTCTGTATGGGCTCAAGCAGAGCCCGATGCTATGGTATGAGGCCTTGGATGGGGTGCTGCTTGGGGCTGGATGGAAGAAGAGCAAGGTGGATGAGGCTCTGTACTTCAAAACTGATGCTGATGGGGAGATGTGCTGGCTGCTGGTGTATGTGGATGACCTGCTTGCTGCCAGCCGCAGTCAGAGCATGCTTGGGGAGCTGCGTGAGCTGCTGCAGAGTGCGTTTCAGCTGCGGGAGATTAGCCCTGTGGAGTAGTATCTGGGGTTGCAGCTGATTCGGGACAGGCCTACTAGGAGGCTGTGGCTGCACCAGGGGGCCTATGTGGACAAGGTTCATAGGCGCTTCTTTGACGGGGAGCAGCCGCTGCGAGTGCCTCGCACCCCTCTTTCCTCTGACCCTTTCAGTGTGCAGACCTTTGAGGATGTGGGATGGCAGTCTCGCCAGGAGGAGGAGTACAGGCAGAAGGTGGGATCCTTGCAGTTCGCGGCCTGTACCACCCGTCCCGACATCTCGTTTGCCTGCAGCAAGCTGGGGTCGGGCCAGACTGTGCGGAGTGATCAGCACTGGAAGGAGTTGGACCGGTGCTTGACGTACTTGGTGGGGAGCAGGGATGTGGCGCTGGAGTTTGGTGGTGGGCCGGAGTCCTTGGAGCTGGTGGGCTACGCCGATGCTGATGATGCAGGGGACAAGCAGAACAGGACCAGCACAGGTGGCTATGTCTTCGTGCTCGGGGGTGCTGGTGTCTCATGGGCAAGCCAGAGGATTCGTTGCGCCACCCTCTCCTCCACTGAGTCTGAGTATGTTGCTGCTGTGGAGGCTGGGAAGGAGGCGCGCAGGCTGCGCTTCCTGCTGGCAGAGTTTCAACTGTTGAGGAGTGAGGAACCCACTACTCTCTTTGTGGACAACTCCTCCGCCATTTCAGTGGCAGGTGGCATGGGGCTCAATGGGAGCCTCAAGCACATGGAGCGTCGCCACATGTGGCTGCAGCACATGGTCAAGCGCAGGAAGCTGCAGTTGCAGTACATCCCTACGAGCGAGCAGCCTGTTGACTACCTCACGAAGGCATTGCATTTCCCCGCCTTCAGTCGTTGCTTCGAGGCTGTGGGGCAGGTGAGGCTTTCGAGTGAGGGGGGTGAGACCTAAACACTCCATGATGTGGATGGTGCCATGGCCTATCCATGGCTGGTGCGGTGCGTGTTTGCACTTTGAGAGTGCTTCGTTTGTGTGTGTTTCCCTTTGTTTTGGCGTGTACGTGTGTATGCATGCCCTGTGATTATAAAGGGCCTTGCTGTAGTATGGCAGGGGAGTGTTAGAGGGCCCTACAACAGCAAGGGCCCTCGATCACCTTTGACTTGGCAGGTCGACGCCTAACGACTGAGTCTACTCGGCACCGATGAATGAGTTCAGTGAAGGTCGGGTGTGACTACGTGTGACTATGTGCAACTGCGCAGGTGTTCGCATGAAGAAGCGAGAGTCCATGGGAGTCGTTGGTGCTTCCTTGAGAGTCCAACCACTCCTTGCTGTGTTGGTGGAGTGGTGTGCACGGAAGCGAGAAGTCGATGCTGAGTTGGGTTGGGAAATTGGCGAGGCGCGTTCGCTCACCCACACACCACTTTCGTGGGGTTGGGTTACTCGCAGCGCCCACGCAACCTCTTGTGAAACCCTCGCCTGCCTATATATGTTTGTGTTGCTTGTGTGTTTGAGATATATTTTCTATGTTCCTAGTGAAGTCCAAATGCTACTTCAATTCTCACCAAGTCCTTAGAGGCAAACGCTACCGAAACTCTACCAAGTTGCTGGCGCAACATCATTCCCATAGCAGAAACTCTCTCGTTATCGCTACGCTCTCTAATAGATTCCTTCACACAGGCGTTACATTCGTCCCCCCTGGTGCCAACGTCCTCGTTGGGGAGCTTCAGGAAGTCGGCCCCCACAGAGACCTCAATTTTGGTGAGAAGGCAGCAGCGCTGGTGGACCAGGCAGCTGAGGGTTCAAGTCTGGTAACCATATTCGAGTTCTCGCCCAATGCGGAAAATGTGGACCAGCCAGGATTTGAACCCTAGGATCAGAGATATAACGCCTCGATTTGAACCCTAGGATCAGAGATGTGGACCAAATGTTTCAAAAACAGGGTGTTATTTGGCGCAGCAGAATGCCCTTAGGCGTACAGAAAATGCATATACACGATTTAGGGCGGTAGTTAATGGTGGAGAATTGGAAATACATCAATCTGTGCGAGCCAACACAATTCACGCACGACAACGCTACTGGCCCAATACTCATAGACGCAGCGGTTGCTTTTCGCCCTTTGTGTAAGTCCACGTCACCTGTCCCCCCTGGTATCAACGTCCATGTTGGCGAGATTGGCGGGTCCCTCTCCCAGGGCAGACTTTCGAATCCTAGGTTCAATATGAGCAAAACGCCCGCGTCGTAGAACACTGCCAAAACGAGGGTCCCTATTGAGCGGCGCGGCAGCGGTTTTCGATAATCCTACTACAGGTGACGACTCAATGAAATCATTAACTCACATTTTCGTGATCCACCCGTCGCCGTCGCAGGTGATGTAGGCAGTTGTGCTGCAGTCGGGATTGTCGTCACCCCAGCCTTGGGCGTTGAAGGTCGACCCCCACGCCGCTTTTAAGTCCTTGAGGACTTGGACTGTGGGCGGTGAGTGCACAAACAGTGAACAGACGTGGGATTACGATCAACGGAATTGTTCTAACTGCATGGTAGTCTCGAAAGTCAAGCAATTAATTACAATGCCGCTGTTCCGTCACCCGCGAACCTTACTGGAGTGTAGTACTGCTGTAGAAGTATTTCTAGTTGCTTGGACACTGACCTGCGGGACCGCTTCCCACCTTGCATGGTGTCAAGAGGCTCGGCGCGGACGATGGTGAGGGCCGCGACGACAAGCGCGCCGGCAATCCACCACGAAAGCGCCAATCCGCGGCGCTCCATGGCACCCCACGAACTTTAAAAGCGTAACGATGCGCGTACGTGCTAGTAGTGGTACTACGTCAATGACTTACTACTGCTGCACTTGAACTTGCTGGCTACTAGATTCTTGTGCTATAGCTGGCAAGACACTTGATTGCAAATGCGTGCTGCAGCGTTTGCAATCCCACCAGTTCGTTTTGAGTACAAGAGTAGTTCTGTTGAACAAAATGAGGGTACCAGAAACTTATGTGTGGGTTACCAGAAACTTTTGTGGAAAAGGGTCTCTCATTAGTCCCCGGAACCCACCTCCGCCCTGCACCTGTATTTTTTGTCCGGATGTGATTGGGCCTTTCCCCCAATTGGCCATGCGCACTTGAAAGTGGTGGTGAAGGTGTGTTGTTGCCAAGCCAGCCAGACGTTTTCTTCAATCGAGCCGTACTGAAACATGTAGGTGCAACGCAACGGTACGCATCTACTGATGTTGAAAACGTCGCATCCAAAACCGGCTCGACCGACCATTCCCTTCCACCACTGTACAGTACAGAACGGTAATGAATATGCATGCACTCCGGACATCTAGCTCGAAACACCCAGGCAGTCGTTTTTGTCGACTTCGCCAACACTGTATCACAGCCGGCTCCCACCACTCTGTTCCTAAAATGCTTGTCTGCATGCATTGAGACCTCAAAAGCCATCGCTTCCTACACTTGATACCTCTAAAACATCACTATTCCTATCCTATTCCTTCTGAACAACACACCATGGGATATGGAATGGTGGTGTTCGCCAGCACACGGAAATTTGAAAGCATTTTCGGCATCGGAATGGCAACCGCATCAGGAACCGGGGCTGGAACCCACCGAATAGGTTTGGGCGTCATGCCACGCGCGAAAATTCGGGTCCAAAAACGGGAAATGACGCAACCGCATCTAGAACCTCCATCCCCACCTTCCCTCTTACTGGCGCGAAATGTTTGCGTCATTGACGACTGCCTGACCAGGGGCCAAAAACTACTGGAATAGGGTAAAAAAGGCATTCAATCTAGTCCAGTGCCGTTGCGTGAGCACATCCAAGGTGTATTCAGGATGGGGGTGGGGAATGGGGATAAAGCGAACCCCCATTTGTCAAACATTTCGCTCGTTTAGAGGTTCTTCTCTGAACGGCAATGCCATTTATATGTCATCGCTGTCTTCCGTAAAAGGGGGAATGGCAATGGATGGCATGGGGAGGGGTATATGCACGGGGACGAAATTGCGTCCCCATTTCCATATGTCGTCATGACGTTCAAAATGGAGGAATTTTGGGGACGTTCGCACGGCCCTCGATTTTGTATTTGGTTCGGACGGCATGACAGGCTCAGCAGCATTTTTACGGGCTGACCAGGCTAATGGAACTTAATGAACCCTAACAGACGGGATCAGGAAGGCATGACTCACCTTCCTAATCGGGTCGTTTTTTGTTTTAAATGTGATGGCGAACATCGCCAGTATTTAGGCTTCCCGAACTTAGAACAACTTTAAATTAAATATATGTACAATGTAACACGAAGAACAATATATCATTCCAATAGATACCAAATACATTGTCGTGTTTTGCAAAGATGGTTGCTATATGCACGACGGCGGACGAGTGGGTCGTCATGTCAGAATCCCAGTCACTAGACTAGTGGGATAAAATGTGAAAATAGGAACGTGAATGAATGAACTATGAAATGTGTGAGTACAAGTACCAACCCTAATTGGGTTGTACCCCCTATGGGATACCCCACTATAGCCTACACAAAAGCATAAGCTATAAGTTCTGACACACCCCCATACGCAAAATGGGGGAGAACAAGGGGTCACAAGACCAGTCAAGCAAAGCAAAACAAAGCTCAGGGTGGATCACAAAGTCACCACACAGTCCGAGCACAAGGTCAAGGCCACAAGGCCAGTTCACATGCAGGAGGAGGCACATATATATATAAGGCTAAACAAGCAAGAGCAGGTATATATGTATGCAAGAGTACAAGAAAGGTCAAGAGGTGAGCAAGTGAGGTAGGACAGGTACAAGTCCCAGCTGAGTGCAGAAGCGCTGATGATCACAAGGCGGAAGTGCCTTGGTGAAAACATCAGCAGTGTTGGCCTCAGAGGCCACGTACGCAAGTCGCAACTAACCACGCTGCTGCAGCTCACGAGCAAGGAAGTAACGGACAGCAATGTGCTTCCTTCTGTGCTCCAAGCGCTGCTCTCGACACAAGGCCAGCATGGCCTTGTTGTCTACGTACAGCACTGGAGGAGAACGAGGCGGCTCTCCAAGGTCAGTCAGCAGGTAGGTGAGCCAGCGAAGCTCCTGTGCAGCCATGGCTCCGGCGTAGATCTCAGCCTCACAGCAGTAGCCGAGAACAGAAGACGAGCGAGTAGCCCGCCAAGAAACAGAGCCAGAACCAAGACTGAAGGTGTACCCCTGCGACGACCGCTGCGTAGCCTGGTCGTCAGCCCAATAAGCGTCCGCGTGACCACTGAGGACCACTGGACTCCGCCCTCCAAGCACTAGCCCCATGCCCGACGTACTGCACAAGTAGCGCAATACCCTCTTCGCTGCAGCCATGTGCTCTGGTCGATGTCTCCCAGGAGCAACATAGCGTGCAAGAATGCTAAGAGGGTATGCAAGGTCAGGTCGTGTGCAGGTCACCAGGTACATGAGGCAGCCAACAAGCTCTGGGTACGGGCCACTCGACTCTACGGACTCATCCGAAGGCAGAGCTGAGAGCGAGTGGCGAGTAGCCAGAGGAGTGGCCTGAGGCGAGGAGTACGTGAAGCCGAAGCGCTGAAGGACCTGCTGCACCATGTGTGACTGAGTCAAGGTAATGGTGCGGCGTGCTCTGTCCCGAGTGATCTGCAAGCCAAGGTAGCTGCGCAGTTCACCCAGGTCTGTGCACGTGTGTCTCTTCAGCGGCTCGGACTTCACGTAGGCGAGTCAAGCAGTGTCAGCAGTGGCAAAGACCAAGTCGTCGACGTACACGAGGATGTAGAACGGCGGCAGAGAAGTGTCGGTGCGCAGAAACAACGAGGAGTCAGCAGTAGAGGGAGCAAACCCAAGAGCCACAAGCGTAGTCCTCAGTGTGTCGTGCCACTCACGCGGTGCCTGGCGGAGACCGTAGACTGGCCGTCGGAGGCTCCAGTGGGTGCCAAGAGGGAAAGTCCCAGTGAAGCCAGGCGGACGGCGCAGCCAGATCTCCTCGTGCAGGCTGCCCTGCAAGAAAGCAGTGCTGAAGTCAAGAGAGTGAAGCTCGTAGTCGCGCTGAGCGGCTATGTGCAGCAGCACCCGAAGAGTAGTCATCTTCGGGGTGGGAGAGAAGGTCTGAAAGTAGTCAACTCCCTGTCGCTGACTGAAGCCACGAGCAACGTACCGAGCCTTGAAGACAGGTGGAGAGCCCGGCGGCCGCTTCACCCTGAAGATCCACATGCCACTAACGATGTTCGCCCGAGGAGGGGGAACCTCGTCAACGTAGGTGCCTGTGGACTTCCAGGAAGCCATCTTTGCATCCATAGCTGCCTGCCACTGAGAGAAGTAGGGACCCTCTACGGCCTCCGCGTAAGAGCGCGGAGTCGGCATGTCTAGTGCATCCGGGTCTCCCTCAGGGGCAAGTAGTACAGACGCGAGATGAGGTGAAGCAGCCGCCAGACACTGGAACTCCTCCTGCCTGTCCTCAAGGACGTCCGTGCCAAGAGCACGCTCACCCCTGACGGACGGAGGACAGACAGACGCAGACTCAGCAACAAGACTAGCAGCGTTGTCTAGACGACAGCGAGCAGCAAAGTTGACAAGCTCAGAGACAAGAGCAGACGCAGCAGTGGACTCAAAAGAGGGGTCTGTGACAACAGTAGCAAGAAGACGCGTGACAGTAGGATTGGCAGCACGAAGAGAGTCCGACTCTGGGTCCGAAAGCGCAGGAAGAGAGGACTCAGGAGGAGAAGGCAAAGGGGCACGCAGAGGAGCAGTGGACGGACGCAGAGACTGTCAGAATATTATCTTATGTTCTAGCCTGTAGTGGGGTGCTCTATAGCGAGTACAACCCTTCTAGGGTTTGCTATTTGTATCCTCTTTCTTGCTAGTTCAATCCTCTTTCTTTCTTCAAATTTTGTCATTGACATCCGGTGCGTGCCAGGGACAGGAGGAGGACGCTGACGCGAACCGCGACCACTAGCGCGAGCAGCACGAACAGGCGACGCGGGACGAGACGCAGGCTCACGACGCTCAGCGAGACCCTTAATAGGACCAGTGTAAGGAGAGGGAGCAGGCAGTGGGGAGGCCGGCTCTAACAGTGACTGCGACTGGACAGACGGCGGACACTCTACAGAAGGAGGAAGACCAAGAACCTGCTGCAGGAGCGGAACGAAGTACGGCCGAGGCCGCGCAGGGACTCTAGACACAGTAGGAATAGCACCAGCACCCTGAGCGGCAGAACCAGCGCCAACAGCACCTCCAGCGGCAGGACCTCCAGCCGCACCAGCAGCAGGACCACCGCCAGGACAGACAGGAGCATTCTCAGAACTAACACCCTCAGCAGCTCCAGCTCCAGTAGGACCCTCAGGCTCAGCAGCTCCGGGACCGGCGGCACCCGCACCCTCAGCGGCCGAAGAAGCTCCCGCTCCAGCAGTACGCCTCCAGCGGCGAGCAAACCACTCGCGCAACTCCTGTGGAGAGAGGGGCTCCCGCCGAGACGGAGCACCCGGAGAACCTCCAGGCCCAGCACAGTCAGACGCCACAGTGGGAAGTCCAGCGACCGTACGCTCCGCACCTCCTGGCTCAGTAGCTCCAGACGCAGCACCTCCAGGCTCAACACCCTCTGGCGCAGCACCCCCAGACTCAGCAACCCTAGGCTCGTCACCCCCAGGCTCAGCACCCACGAGTACAGCACCCCCAGGCTCAGCACCCCCAGGCTCGTCACCCCCAGGCTCAGCACCCACACGCACAGCACCCCCAGAGTCAGCAACACCAGGCTCAGCACCCGCAGCAGGGCCAGAGTCACCATCAAC